GAGCGCAGAACTGGGTCTGGCAGACTCCACGGGGAGGCAGATGCAGGTGGCAAACACTCACAGGGCAGTACATTCCTGTAGCGGTTCTTGGATGTGTTCTCTGGAGCCAATGCTGTCGTCTGAGACTGGCCTTGGCCCTCCGGAGCCAATTGCTAGAGGCAGAGAGAGAGAGAAGAGGTTCAAGGTGGTGAATTTTCCTCAGTGCCCTCCTCTGTTCATCCATTGAATATTTTTGTTGTTTGTCTGTTTGGTTGGCTTTTTTCTTTTCCTTTTTTTTTTTCTTCAAGACAGGGTTTCTCTGTGTAGCCCTGGCTGTCCTGGAACTTGCTCTGTAGACCAGGCTGGCCTTGAACTCCCAGAGATCTATCTGCCTCTGCCTCCTGAGTGCTGAGATTAAAAGCATACGCCACCACCACCTAGCTATCCATCGAATCTTGAGACTCGTGGCACTCACAAACATTGAAAAGATATGACCTTCCATGTTGGGGATACTTGTGAGGACTTAGAGTCAGCTAGGGGCTTCCTCTGACAGATGCCCTGAGGAGTAAGGTGTCAGGAAGTCCTTGTGCTTAAACAAATATCCGTCATTGTTTCAGGATTTCAGAGGGTTGTAAAGAAACCCTCTTGGCAGTTTCTGCATGACTAAAAGAGGTAAACTGGAGAATTGGCTCGGTTGGCAAAGTGCTTGCTTAGCATGCCCAAGGCCCTGCATAAGCCAGGTTCAGGGAAACACACCTGCAATTGCAGCACTTAAGAGGGTGGGGGAAGGATCATAACTTCAGAGTCATCTCTAGCTGTATAGCACATTCCAGGAGAGCCTGGACTACGTGAGACCCTGTCTCTAAGAGGAGGCGGGGCTTATAGAAGATCTACAGGCAGCTGGTGTTTGCTGAGTAAGGAAGAGACCTTTTCTCCACTGCCGCTGTGCTTTACTCAGTAACCCCTCACCCAGATTCCTGGGAACAACCCTAATATAATTCATTGGTCCGTGCGTACGCATGCACGCGCGCGCGCACACACACACACACACACGCACACACGCACGCACGCGCACGCGCGCGCGTGCGCACACGGAAACTGGGAAGATGGCTCGATGGTTAAGAGAACTGGCTGCCCTTACAAAGGACCTTGATTCAATTCCCAGCACCCACATGGCTGCTCACAACCATCAGTTGCAGAGGATCCAGCGCCCTCTTATGGCCTCTGTAGTCACTGCATATACATGGTATATGTACATGCATGCAGGCAAAACACCCACACATAAGATAAAAATAAGTAAATCCAAACAGTTAAGGGCGGGTGAGATGGCTCAGTTTTCTAGCTCAACCCAGAAGGGCCTGGGAAGCCGGGGCATGTGGGTACCAGCCGTGATGCCTCTGCTCTCACCCACCTGATACTCCTCAGCAAATCCATAGTTGCTGTCCTTCTCCTTCACCCTGACGTGGTTAGCAAAGTCTTTGGCTAGGATATCCCCTGGGACGCTGTGGCGAGAAGAAAGGTAAAAAAATAAAAAATAAAAAAATAAATAAAGACTTTAAGCACCTTGAGGCTGGCAAGATGTCTGAGCAGGTAGAGGGTCCTAACTGAAAGCCGGATTGCTTGAGTTCCATCCTTGGTAGCCACATGCTGGACTGAGAGAACTGACTCCCGTGGGTTGTCGTCTCACATCCATGCCTCACATACACCCCACGAAATAAAAAAGTAAATGAAGCACCGCGCATTTGGGAGGCAGAGGCAGGCAGATCTCTGTGAGTTCGAGGCTAGCCTGGTCTACAGAGGGAGTTACAATGATTTTGATCCAGTAATGCCGCTGCTGGTTAAATCCACCAAAGAAAGAACAATCTCAAAGCCGTCGGCTCAGTATCGTTCACGGCAGCGTGGCTCACAGGAGGACCAAGGTGCAAGCGACACAAGCGCCCATCAGTGGCCACGCATGGTCATACACAATAGAAACCTGGGGGTTGTGATATTGAGGCAGGAGGAGCACCAAGAGTTCAAGGCTAGCCTGAACTACATAATGAAACCTTGCCTCTAAAACAGGACAAGGGCCAGCAAGATGGCTCAGCAGGCAAAGTCACTAATAGATAAACTTGACTACCTGACTTTGATCCTAGGACCCGTACGGGTGGAAAAGAGAACCAACTCCTTCACACACAGATGCGCGCTCACACACACACACACACTCAGGCACGCACGCATGCTTTCACGCACGTGCACACCACACACATGCTTGCACACCTTAAATGTAATCTAAAACATTTAATAGAACAAGAGCCAGCACCAAGCATCCATCAGTAAATGAATGGATGAACCAAATGTGGTCTATTCATACAGTGAAGTATTGTTCGGCCTTTAAAAGGAAGAAGATGAGGATAGCAAAATGGCTCAGCGGTTAAGAGCACTGGCTGCTCCTCCTGAGGGCCTAACTTTGATTCCCAGCGCCCACATAATGACTCACAGCCAAGGCGACTCCGGTTCTGGGCGATCCAACGCCCTTTTCTGTCCTCTGCAGGTACCGCATTACACACGGTGCACAAGCATGCAGCAAAGCACCCTTGCACATAAAAAAAATAATAAAATCTTAAACAGAAAACCCTCTCCTCCCTCCCCCCAGAAGTACATTGATATCCTTGCTGTCTTCTGCAAGACTCCACCTACCGAGCCTCACCAGACCCCTCTCTGGCATCGCTCCCTAACACCCTTCCCTGTGTTCACACCACCCAATCTCAGAGACACACGGTGTGCCCTAAGCACCCCGACTGCTGCTACTTGCCTGTCCCCATAGTGGGAGAGCCCTTACCCCATGTACAGAGACTGGTCTCAGTCCTAGCCAGAGTAACTCCATCTTGCAGCCATTTATCTGTTCTTTATCTGAAACTTTCAGAAAGCAAAACTATCCTTCCCATAGCCTGACAGAATTTCCTGAGGCTGCCCGAATCCTTCGCAGAAGCCTAGATGCACAAACTCTCTTTGTGTGTGTCTTTAAGGCAGCCTGTAGTCACTTCTGCTGTTTGCACACACGGTGGCGCTCAAGGCCTAGGTTTCTATCCTTCCTGCTCCAGCTTGTCTGAGCCCTTTCAGCTCTCTGTGTCACCCGTCCTCGGAAGCAGGAACTGTCCCAAGCCCTCCTGACTTGCTCAGCTCTTTGCTCATGTTCGTAGTTGGCTTCAGCTTCCCTCTAGCAGCTTTTTTTTATTATGCATTTTATTCGGTGTGTGTTGGGGTGTGGGTAGGGAAGTGTGCGTGCGCCCTGGTGTGTGTGTGTAGGTTAGTAAACAACTATGGGAGTCATGTTTCTGTCCACAGTGAGGACTGGACTCCGGTCATCAGGTGTGGCAGCAAGTACCTTCATGATTGAATCATCCTTTTCTTCTTTTGTTTTGTTTTGGTTTTGTTGTTCTTGTTACTGTTGCTGCTGTTGATTCAAAACAAGGTTTCTCTGTGACACAGCCCAGGCTGTGGTTCCTGAGTGCTGGGATTAAAGGCGTGTGCCACCATGCCTGGGCCCCTCCTCTAGTTGTCGTGCCATCTAGAGTGTTCCTCGACCTCCCTCTCCTCTCCTCTTGCGCTGTTTGTCTCCACATGTACAGCATAGTCTATGTTATCTTGCTCTTCAGCCCTTCCTGATGCTAGAACACAGGTTGAGTTAGATGCCCAAGACCCACATGTGGAAAGAGAGAACCAGCTCCAGCTCCCACAAGAGTCCCCTGACCTCCTCACATGCATGTGTAGTATGTGGACACAAAGACATAAATGTAAAGCAGTTAGGATGGGGACTGGAGAGATGGCTCAGTGGTTAAGAGCATTGGCTGCTCTTCCAGAGGATTCAGGTTCAATCCCCCAGCACCCATACCCCCATGGCCACTCACAGCCATCTGCATGAAACTCTAGTTCTAATGGGATCTGATGCTCTCTTCTGTCCTCCTCAGGTACTAAGACTGCATGTAGTAAACAAACATGTATGCAGGCAAAACACTCATACACATATGCTGTGAAGTAATCCTTCTGTATACAGGGAGGAAGTATTGAACGGACAGCCAAACTGAGGATGGGATGAAGAAGGGCAGAGTCAGAGATGCCAGCAGATGTAGGGAGAAGCAAGATGAGCATGCTGTACTAAGAAAAGGTACCGAGCCACATGGCAACTCATAGATAAGAAATATGGGTTAATTTAAATGTAAGAGTTAGCTTGTAACAAGCCTGAGCTATTGGTCAAGTATTTAAAATTAATATTAAGCCACTGTGTGGTTAATTGGGATCAGCTTGCTAGACAGAAACTTCTACCAACACACATAAAATAAATAAAATTCAAAATTAGGCTGAATATGATCAAATCACACTGTGTATATGTATGAAATTCTCAAAGAATAATAAAGTTTTTAAAGGAGAATTAATTCTAGGCTGAGTCTCCAGGAATTAGCTGTGGCCCATTGCAGGGGCTCACAATCCCCTCTGAGACTTGGTTTGCCCTCTGACCTATCCAGGGAGCAGCAAATGCCCCCTTGCTTTACCTGACAGTGATTTCCTCAGATGCTCCCCTCCACCCAACACACCTGAACACCAGATCCTTGGGCGTTTCCTTCTGCTGGCTCCTCTTTCTTCTGGAAGAAAGACACTGGGATGTAAAACTCCAGCTAGAGCCCAGGACCAGGGATCCTCATCTTCCCTTCTGGGCTCCCACTAGTCAAACACCCACCACCAGTCCTGTCCCAAGTCTCACCTCCTCTTCAGGAAGAAAATCAGGAGTCCCACAAGGATGAAAAGCAAGAGGATGCCCACGATGGCTCCCACAATGACCCCTACAATGAGAAGCAGAGAGATGATGATGATGATGATAACAACAACCTCTGTGTGTGTGTGTGCGCGCACGCACGAGAGAGAGAGAGAGAGAGAGAGAGAGAGAGAGAGAGAGAGAGAGAGAGAGAGAGAAGAGAAGAGAAGAGAAGAGAAGAGAACATGTTCCTTAGAGGTCAGAAGAGGACAACAGATTCCCTGGAGATGGAGTTCCATGGAAGATTGGCAACAAAACTCAACAAAAGCACTATGTCTTCTTAGCTGGACATGGTGACTCCCGCCTTTAACCCCAGCACTCAGGAGGCAGAGGCAAGCAATTTCCTGAGAGTTCAAGGCCAGCCTGGTGAGTTCTAGGACAGCCAGGGCTACACAGAGAAACCCTGTCTCGAAAAACAAGAACAACAAAAAGCAACTTAGAAGACAAAGGCCTTATCTGGTTCACCATCCCCGTGGGGAAGTCTAGATAGGGTGAACTTGAAGTAGCTAGTCACGTTGCATCCTCAGTCGAGAAAGGGGGACAGTGAATTCAGGAATGCCAGTGCTCAGTGTATTACTTCCATGCCTATACAATCCAGGATTCCCTACTCAGGGACCAGTGCCACCCACAGTGGGCAGGGCTTCCTGGTAACCAAGACAACCACCCAAGGATGCATGGACTTGCCTAATCTAGGCAGTCCCACCCTGAGAATCCCTTCCAAGTGACTCTGGGTTGTGGCAAGTTGACAGTTAAAACCAACCATTGCACAATCCCTCATCGTCATGGCACCAGTTCTCCCTAAGGAGAGAGACTTGGTTTTCTCAGAGATTTGCTTGCCAGAGGAAGGGTGCGGAGCAGTGGAGCTCGGCTGATGTCTGGTAGTACTCAAGGACTTGCTTGTTCCCAGCTCTGATGGGCACAGCTCTCCTAGGATCTGTCCTTAGATAGCCAAGGTTCCAGGACAGACCCATTTCCATCAGCCGCGGAAGCTGGAGGCTGCAGCTTCCTGGCAGTCTGGGCTGTATAGAGTTGGTGGTCAACAGACATCAGGAGGAAGATTATCCTTCGTGAGGACTTGCGTACCTCACCAATTTGGTCCTTCATAACTTGACCAGACACTTTGTCCCCTCCAGGATGCTAGTTTGCTAAGGGGGAAACACTCCCAAGCAACAGAGCTAGGGAAAGCAAGGTTCAAGAAACATACATTTAACATTGCATCCACTTCCATGGTCTCTCCAGGATGGTCACCTAGTGTTACTAGAATCCCTGATTTCTAGGAAGAGACAAAGGAGACAGTGCTGTGGGAAAATGCTCTTGTGCACTGTAAAGATTTGTCACTCATACAGGTTTAATAAAATGCTGATTGGCCAGTAGCCAGGCAGGAAGTATAGGCGGGGCAACCAGACTAGGAGAATTCTGGGAAGAGGAAAGGCAGAGATGCAGTCACCAGTCAGATGCAGAGGAAGCAGAATGAGAATATCTCACTGAGAAAAGGTACTGAGTCACATGGCTAAACATAGACAAGAATTATGGGTTAATATAAGTTGTAAGAGCTAGTTAGTAAGCCTGAGCTAATAGGCCACACAGTTTATAATTAATATAGGCCTCTGTGTGTTTCTTTGGGACTGAATGGCTGCAGGACCGGGAGGGACAGAAACTTCCATCTACAGGACAAAGTGAAAGATACATCCAAAGAGGTCTTGGTAGGGCCAGCAAGATGGCTCAGGGGGTAAAGGTGCTTGCTGCCAAGCCCAGTGACAGGACCCACATGGTTGAAGGAAACAACTGACTCTAGCAAGTTGTCCTTGACTTCCATACAGGCATAGTGGTGTGTGTGCACCTCCCCCAAAAGACAATTAAATAAATGTAATAAAAAATTTAAAAGAAAGATTAGAGATAAAAATCTACTAAGGTAGAGAATGCAGCTGGATAGATGTGGCTCAAGATTAAAAGCATCAGCTGCTCTTCTAGAGGATCTGGGTTCAACTTCCAGCACTCCATGGCAGCCCACAACCATCTGTAACACCAGTTTTAGGGAATCCGAGGCCCTCTTCTGGCCTCTGAGGGTACTGCATGCAAATGGTACACAGACACTCCTGAAAGCAAAAGCACCTATACAGATAAAAATAAGTATTTTTTAATTAAAGACAATTATTCTCAAATAAATAGTAATGAAAGATGAAATGGCATTGGAAATACACTGTCTAGCATCAAGTTGTCTGGTGACTTCAAGTGCATGAGTTGTACGTCCATTGGATTTTATCTCCAGAAAACTGTTTTCAGAAAATCAGGAGGGCTAGGGAGTTGGTTCAATCAGTAAAGTGCTTGCCCCTGCAAGCGTGAGGACTGAGTTAGGGCTCAGAACACACTAGATGCCAGCACGTGCCTATACTGTCTCAGAACACACCAGGCATGCTGGCACGTGCCTATACTGTCTCAGAACACACCAGGCATGCCGTCACGTGCTATACCGTCTCATAACACACCAGATGCTGGCACATGCTATACCGTCTCAGAACACACCAGATGCTGGCACGTGCCTATACCATCTCAGAACACACCAGGCTTTCAAATCAATGAGAGACTACTTCTCAAAAAGAAAAAACTACGTGGAGCTGTAAGATGGGTCAGGGCTGAGGTGCTGGCACCAGGCCTAAGACGCGGAGTTGGGTCCCTGTGACCACATGGCGGAAGGAAACACTTAACTCCTGCAATTTGTTTTCTGACCTCTACATGTGCAACGTGACACACACACAAATAAAGAAAAATAAACGAGTAAATGTTAGAAAACTATTGTAATGTAGATGCTACATGAACAACACCCAAGACTGTCCTCTGGCCACATGCATACATACATGTTTGTGCACATGAAGCTGCACACACATGTACAGACTCAGAGAGAAAGAAGGACAGAGAGAGAGAAGTCAGAAAACAAAAGGCAGACAGACCAAAACAAAACAAATAAAAACAAACAAAAATACAAAACAAAAAAATAACAACAAACAAAAACCCATGGCCTCCCTTTCGGGCGACCTCTGAAGGCTTGTCCCTGGGCTCCACTCACCTGCACCCTCTGTCCCCGGGGCTCCACTCACCTGTACTCTCTGTGTGGCAGTTCACAGAGAAGGGTGAGGCCCTCAGTCCATTCGAGATAGTTGTGATGGTGGCCGTGTAAGACTGAGCTGGCCCAAGATCTGACACAGACATGCCCGTCCCACAGGAAGTTTGGTTTCTCCATTGTCCGCCCACTTCCACCTCAAAGGTATCATAACCCCCAGAAGGGCAGGGCCAGGTAAGAATGACCCCGTAGCCCCCAGAGGCGCTGACACAGGAGGGTTTGCTGACAGCAGCGGGCACTGAGTAAAGAAAACAAGAGGAATCATCAGCATGAGCCATTCCCCAAAGATGGTTGTTCTGCTTGCCCAGCTCTCCGGGGCTAGCCCACTCTCCTCCGCTCCTCATCTTCTCTTGTCCCCAAACGACTAAAGTCCTCCCAGACTACAAACCCCTACAATGCCTTGGACTCTGTATTACTGAATGTATAAAGTTCCAACCTCATGACATTATGGAATTTGTAGTTCACTCGCATTTTTCACTTTAGAAATATTTTAGTTACATGTATGCGTCATAGTATGTGTAAGGATATATAATATTACACATTATATTAGCATATTATATATTAAGATAGTGCATATTAATATATTATATAACAGTATACCTTATTTTATTATATTATATGGAATATAATATATTATATATCATACGTTATATATTATATTGTTATTATTGCTACATTATATTATACACATTATTATGTGTATAATTATTAATATTATGC